GAGAGAGAGAGAGAGGGGGGTGTGTGTGTGTGTGTGTGTGTGCGAGCGAGAGAGAGAGAGAGAGAGAGAGCGGTGTGTGTGTGTGTGTGTGTGCGAGCGAGAGAGAGAGAGAGAGAGAGAGCGGTGTGTGTGTGTGTGTGTGTGCGAGCGAGAGAGAGAGAGAGAGAGAGAGCGGTGTGTGTGTGTGTGTGTGTGCGAGCGAGAGAGAGAGAGAGAGAGAGAGCGGTGTGTGTGTGTGTGTGTGTGCGAGCGAGAGAGAGAGCGGTGTGTGTGTTTATGCGTTTTGAAAGATGAAGCTGGTGATTATGGTAAGGGGCGTTACATTTCCGACGAGTGCTTGCGGTGTTCGGCCAATCACAATGCACTGGGTCAGCTGGCCAATCAGAGCGCTTGTCGGAAGGAGGGGCTTTGTAGAAAACGAAGCGTTTGAGAGAGGCGGGGCATAGAGGACCTACAATAATGTACAGTATTTGAAAAATAATGTTTTTTGAACATTAAAGCATGTCGACATATTCTGTTACACCAAATACACCAAATAATGATCTTTAAAAAAGCATCATATGACCCCTTTAAGGTAGATTGATAGATTGAGAAGTGTTTTCTGATTGATTATTGTTCATCAGCTGGAAAAAGTAGTTTTGAAAGGGATTCCAATGATTCCTTGGTGTGACCGGACCTTTTGAGTGCAGCAGTCTAAAAGTATAAATCCCATTCATTTTCTCCATAGTGAAATTGATATTTAACAATAACTTTAAATGAATCCTTTAAAGACAAGTTGTTTATTTGATAATATTTGCTTTTGTTAAAGCCGTCAGCACACATTATTCTAACTTTTATTTTACAATTATCTTGTTTAACAGTGTGATGATGAAAGACTGCATTACCCATAATTCTGCAAAGAAATCTCTTATCAATCAGAGAATCGCAACGGGCAGATTGCACCAAAAGAATCGCCCATAACCACTTTTATTACTCCGTTGTTTTAAATTTTATTATTTAATTTGCAGTGCTTCATGGGAGTTTGATTCTTTCTCATTAGTGCACAATCTTGTACATTTGTCTTTTATCCAATTATCCAATTTATCCAAGTTTGTAATGTTGCGACTTGTAACTGGTTGGTTAGCTCATTGCTTATAACTCTTTAATGAAGACTTTTTAAATTGAAATCCTTATAGGAAAATGAACAATACGTGGGCGGCAATGTTACACTATTAGGGACTATTAGGGACCCCGAGAATCCGTGCTTTACAGTGTATTTATAACAGCTAAGAGGCGTTGTTAGGTAGCTGTTATAAATTCACTGTAAAGCACGGATTCTCGGGGCTTATTGCTTTTATAAAACGGTTATTCCATATACGTAGTAAGGTTTCACAAAATAAAACAGAGCAAATAAAGTGTAATGATATTAATAAACACAGTATTCTTCCACCAAACAATGTAGCTCCTCAGAAACAGTTGTGGTTGCTACAAAGTGGTTGCCGAGCAACACACAAACGTAAACAAAGGTGTGTGTTACTTTGTAGCGTCATTTACAACAGCTTCGAACTCGGCTCAGCCAATCAGAGTCAAGCACCGGAACTGTCCGCTTTATATATACTATAATGCATTTGTCATTCTCAAGGCCCGTTCACACCGAGGACGATAACTATAAAGATAACGATATAGTTCTAAAAATCGTTTAAAGAATAGCAGAGTCCACAACTATAACGATAAAGAGAAACGATAACGTTGGAATCGCTTTCAAAATTATTTTTGTCCAGCTGATGAACGATACAAACATTGACAGCCAATCAGAATCCATCCTGCTGTAACGAGCTCGAGAATTTACAGCGGCAGATGAGCGTGCGTTTAGAATAAACAGACGATATCGTTCGCTGGTGTGGACGTTCGCTAATATCGTTATCGTTCTTAGTGTGAACGGGGCTTTACTCTCTGCTGACGTTGCTGTCAGTGCACAGCATTTCAAATGAGTGTAAGAACCAGTGAACATACGCAAATGCCAGTCTGTTTTAATAGTATAAGCAAAATGACGAAATCTTGAATAAAAGCAATAAAGCTTGGCACCTTCTACTTGTGTTCATGTCGATTGTATTGATGTCTGCAGAGAAAAAAAGATGGAATTTAAGAACCGTTTCGGACCAAAAATAGCTGTCAATCTTTCTCTTTTTCTTCTTCAGCCCAAGTGGTACAGTCCTTCGATCTGTGGATGAGGCGAGGGTGTATCTGCGGACAGACGGCACATGTAAATGTGGTCTCGAGTGCCCGCTAGTCCCAAATAAGGTGAGATCAACATTCACGGCTTAAAACCTCATTCATGACGTTTCCAGTACAAATTTGATTGCAGATTAATTAATTAGGTTTTATAGATTGCAGCTATGTTTAGAATGAAATACTAGCGTGCATGTGGAACGCTATGATTTATGACAGGATAAACTACGTTGTTGATATGCTGCATGTTTTATTTAGCCATCAGCATCCAATTATTATTTCAGAAAGCTGATTATTTTAAAGTCCCATATGATAACTACTGGTTTGTTTGTTACACTGGAAATGGAAGGTCAAGTTGAGTGCACCGCATTGCAAAATGCACACGCAATGTCTTCTTTGCACTTTTTAGCAAATGTCACCCAGTTATTCAGTGCATACAAAAAAGTTTGCTTTCTGTGTATCGTATAAATATTGCATACTGCAGAAATAATAAGAGTTGTATGATAATATGCCGTTCTAAACCATAAACTTTATTGCATGCATTAAAAAAGGTGATTAAATGTCTTTATAAATCCCTGCAGGTCTTTAATTTTGACCCTGCTGCGATGGTCCGAACTCCTGGTCATCAGTCAGGGAAAATAGAGGAAGACATGACCAAACTCTGTAACCATCGCAGGAAAGTTGATGCCATGGCGGCATTATGCCAAAGCATGCAGCCGGCTCAAGCCACAGGTATTGCATCTTAATACACAAGTTATTCCAACACGGTTACTTTTTAGAAGAGCTGTAACATGCTTCTGTAAGCAGTTTGAGTATCACACTTCTCATGCTAATACTTTTTTGTTTAATAATTAGGTAACACTTTACAATAAGGTTCAGTTTATTTTTTAAAGCACATTTAAATACAACACATTGTCGTTCCAAAGAGCTGTACAGAACCAAAAGACAAATAAAACCACAATACAACAGTCAAAGATGTTCAATTCATAAACACAGTTCATTCTTGATACTTCATGCATTAACTAATGCACAACATTTTTACAGCAAGTTAATGTTAAAAGTATTGTTCTGTTAGTTTGATACCTAATGCATGAACTAATGTTAACCCTTAATATAAAGTGTTGCCAATTATTGTCTGTTAATGTATTGTTTAATTAATATGCCTATATTTTCAAAATGCTGTGTGTTAGCAGGAGCAGCAGTCAAAGGTATTGATTAGCACTTTAAACACTAGCGTCCACCCCACTTCCGCCAGAGCACAGTCCCTGACCGCCCTTTTGCTTCCGCACTCCCCTTCCCTTTCCCCGGCTTCCCCTGCTGTCGTGGAGAAAAGCTTGAGGCGCAAACGGCAGAGGCGCTCGCCCACTGTTTTGAGCATGCGCAAAGACTCGCAGTTAGGTCTGACCGCAGGAGATCTCTCCTGGCCACCTCTGCTCATCTCCCCATGCCTTTCGCCACCTTCTCCTCCTGTACCTCATTTAGACAACCCCCGGCTGCCCGTCGCTCCTCTGAATGCCTCTTGGTTGCAGGATTCGGAGGAAGGCAGGAAGCCAGGACTTGCTAATTCCCTACCATCTCCATCCCAGCCCCTTTCTGCCCTGCTTCAGCTTCTTAGCATGCAAAGCACAACCCAGCAATCCGGCGTTGCCACTGCCATGCCTGGCAACAGGCACACAAACACATTGCCCTCTTCACCCAGACCCATAACTCCACAGACGCCCCAATGCGACATGCAGTCCACATTACGTTTACCCAACCACACCCTGCAACCTCAACCCCAAAGCACAGTGCCCATGCCGGAACCTCCTATCCAGCGACCCCCATCCCAACCCTTTCCTTTGATGGGTGATGAGACAACCATGAACCTCAAAACAACCTCCAGCAGCACCATCCTGAACTTGACCCAGACGACGCCGGACCTCAACAGTTCAATTCTGAGCATGATGAACCAGATGTCCTCAACATGCTTGCCCTCATTCCCGGAGAAAGGTTGTGGACCCAAAACAACAGAGACTTGTCTTGACCACAGTACCTACCAAATTAACCAGTCAAACCACAACCAAGCTGTGGAAAGCAAAGGTGAGACTTAGGCATGTGACGGTATCAAATTGTCATGTTGCAATAATTGCTAAAGCTTTTATCACGGTGCACAGTATTATCACGATATTGAAATAAGTTGCAAAAAAGTGTTGTCATAATAAAGTATAACAACTTTTTTCTTATGACAAAAAGAGCTGAACATTTAAATACAATAAAGCAATACACAAAATATGGAAACAAATGTTTCAAACAAGTTATAAAGACCAATGTAAAGGCATATTTACACCAAGGACGATAAAGATATAGTTCTAAAACTAACGATAAAGGTAATAGTAAAGTGTCTGAACGGGGCTTAACACTTTACAATAAGATCTCATTAGTTAACTTTAGTTAATGCACTAACATTAACAATGAGCAATAGCTTCATTTGTTACAGAAGTTATTATTATTTGTTGAAAATGACCTATTAGCTCGGGTCCATTAAATAATACTGTTAGTATTTTTTATTTTAATAGCGTGAAGCTGTGGAAAGCAAAGGTGAGACTTAGGCATGTGACGGTATCAAATTGTCATGTTGCAATAATTGCTAAAGCTTTTATCACGGTGCACAGTATTATCACGATATTGAAATAAGTTGCAAAAAAGTGTTGTCATAATAAAGTATAACAACTTTTTTCTTATCACAAAAAGAGCTGAACATTTAAATACAATAAAGCAATACACAAAATATGGAAACAAATGTTTCAAACAAGTTATAAAGATCAATGTAAAGGCATATTTACACCAAGGACGATAAAGATATAGTTCTAAAACTAACGATAAAGGTAATAGTAAAGTGTCTGAACGGGGCTTAACACTTTACAATAAGATCTCATTAGTTAACTTTAGTTAATGCACTAACATTAACAATGAGCAATAGCTTCATTTGTTACAGAAGTTATTATTATTTGTTGAAAATTACCTATTAGCTCGGGTCCATTAAATAATACTGTTAGTATTTTTTTATTTTAATAGCGTGTTATTAAATGTTGAAATTAACTAAGATTATTAAATGCTTTAGAAGAATTTTTAATTGGCAGTTTGATAACTAAAGAATTAACTAATGTTAACTAATGGAGCCTTAATGTAAGCAAAAACAGTAAGATTTAGAAATATTTTACAATTTAAAATAACTAATAGAATCTGAATAGAAAATTCAGAAGAACAGCATTTATCTGAAATAGAAATCTTTTGCAACATTATAAATGTCTTTATCATCACTTTTGATCAATTTGAAGCATCCTTGCTAAATAAAAGTATTAATTTCTATAATTTCTTTCCCAAAAACAAAATTATACTGACTCCAAGCTTTTGAATGGTATAGTGTATAATTCTACACAAGCTTTTTATTTCAGATAAATGCTGATCTTTGGATCTATCTATTCATCAAAGAATCCTGAAAAAAAATGTACTCGACTGTTTTAAATATTGATGATAATGTTTAAGCAGCAGATCAGCATATTATACTGATTTCTGAAGATCATGTGACCCTGAAGACTGGAGGAATGATGCTGAAAATACAGCTGCGCATCACAGAAATAAATAGCATTTTAAGTTATATTCAAATAGAAAGCAGTTTTTTAAATAGTAAAACAATTTCACAGTATTACTGCTTTTGCTGTAATTTGGGTAAATAAATACAGGCATGGTGAGCAGAAGATAATTCTTTAAAAAAAAAACTTTTAACTGGCAGTGTAATTATTCACGTTTTTTTTTTAAGTGCCCACGCTAACAATATCGTGCATGTTTATTATCGTGATATATTGTAACACCGGCACATGTCTAGTGATTTTCACAGCAATGGTGGTTTGGGTGATCCTTTTGACACTTGTGTTTTCTCGGCAGGTCCTGTAGAGTCGATGGATCAGCCGGACTCGGATGCAAGATTGCTGGGTGGCTGTGAGCCGGACCACAGCCTCTCTCTTCCCAATGCCCACTCATCCGACCATGCTGTTTCCTTACCGCTTGCAGAGGCTTTTCCCTTCATGTCTCAAGAACAGCTCCTCCAGCTTCTCTCCTCCAATGCCGGTCTGCCTTCCCTGTTACCGCCCTTTCTCGGCTCCCTGCCTTTAGGGGTCTGGACGAGCACCCAACCTTCGGTGCCCGGCGGTGCCCAAGCCCAGCCAACCAGTGCCATCCTAAACCAGGGCTCTCCTCTCAACATCCTAAACCAAGGCGAGCTTCCTCTCAACCTCGTGAGCCTGTTAAATCCGCCAGGTTCTGCTGCAGCTGAAGCAGGGGAGGAAGGTGGTGAAAAACCCCCTGGGCTTCAAGCCCTCCTCATGGCTTCGTTGCTGCTCGGCCAGAATCCGGCTGCCATGTTGCCACTACCAGCGCTCAACCTGGAGCTTCCTACACTGCAGCAGCTCTTCGCAGACGGAGTGTTCCTGGAGAAGACCCCCGCTCTGCTAGATTCGGTCCTGATGGGGCCGGGGCTCCTGGAAGCTCTACAAACTCTAGCACCCAGCGCAGACGGCCAGTCGCTGCTTCTTTCCGCCCCTCTCACTCCACCCCTTCATGCCTTTCTGTCGCTCAACCCCGCTCTGCTGACCGCAGCTCTCGCCCAGACCGAACCCTTACCCAACCACACTCCATCCCCCCCGCCTCATTCTCAGGTAAATGCACCAGTTGCATGCTTCGCTGCATGTGCACATGCATGCTTCCAATTGATGCATCTGTACAGTGACAGGGTTTCCCAACCAGATACCTGACCCTGGAGCACAAAAGCAGTGTTAAGTCGCTGGGGTATATTTGTAGCAATAGCCAACAATACATTGTATGGGTCAAAATTATAGATTTTTCTTTTATGACAAAAATCATTAGGATATTAAGTAAAGATCATGTTCCATGAAGACATTTTGGAAATTTAGTACCGTAAATGTATAAAAAATTAATTTTTGATTAGTGATATGCATTGCTAAGAATTTAATTTGGACAAATTTAAAGATGATTTTCTTAATTAGATTTTTATGCACCCTCAGATTCCAGATTTTAGTTGTATCTCATCCAAATATTGTCCTATCCTAACAAACCAACCAAACCATGATGTATAAATTGTCAATTTAAAAAAATTGGTTTTGTGGTCCATGGTCACATTTGTGCGTGTTTTATACTAGAGTGTGAATTTCATAAAAGCTATAAAAATAAATGTCTGGGTTGGGGTTAATCTCAAAATCAAAAGGATTGGACATTATATTCTTCTAACTGTGGCATTATTTTCATGACAGTTATGTGCATTTAAACTCCAAATCTATACTCGCCACCTGCTATAATGCAAAACAAATAATGAAATACTATTTAAATTGTAATTTCCATGTCCTTGTGTCTGGCGCATGCATGGATGCATGTTTTTTTTTTTTTTTGCATTTCATTGAGAATTTATTTTGAAAATGTGGTTAATTGTCATGAAATTAATGTCACATTGCAAAAAATCTTAATGCTTAAGGGTTAATTCACCCAAAAATGTAAATTATCACCATTTACTCACCGTTATGTTGTTACAAAACCGTAACCCATTTTAGTTACTTGGGCTTTCAATTGAGACACAGGTTAAATAAAAATCTTAATTTGTGTTTTGAAAATGAACAAGTTTTATGGACTTGGAATGACGAGGGTGATTTTGGGTGAGCTAAGTTTTTAATAAAATTAGGCTTTATTTTATGTGTGTGATGTGAAATATGGGGACATTTCTACACTCAGAATGTCCATGCAGAATTGCCTGAGCTAAATTGCAGAGGTCAAATATCAGGGAAATTCACCTGACAACGGTTGGGAGTCCTTGTATTAGGCGTTTGCCAGTGGAACATTGTTTTGATATCTGAGTACATCCATCTTGTGCAATACATATGTGAATCTGTGTGGCTGTAGGGGACTCTGTCCAGCCCAGCTCTAGCTTCTACCTCGGTGTCCTGCGGCCCTCTGGTGTCCAGCTCGGGGCCCGAAGTGTGTGACCCTCTGGCCGAGCAGGACAAGAACAACACCCAGACCCCTCAATTCCTGCCGCCTCTGCTCGCCCACGGGGTTCTTGGTAAGTGGATCAGTGTAAAATGCATCTGAAAATGACCATTTTAAATGTGCCTTGCTTTGGAATAACGGTGTTATAATTATACAAATATATAGTATGTGATTACACTCAGTTCTTCTTTCAGTTAGTGTGACTTAACGGTCATTTTAATAGGGCTGGGACAATAAATCGATGCATCGCGAATCGAGAAATGATTCCGCATCGATTCTGAGATTTCCCGAAGGCATCGCGATTCTCTCTCGAATCGATTCTGAGCTTAGTTTTTAACAGCAGATGGCACTGCATGCTTTAGAAATAGCTGTATTTTGCTTGCTTCCAGTTCCTTACGCACTATTTGAACCTAAAATAATCATTCATGAAGTTCGAAAAGGTTGAAGTGAATTACAAGGATGTTCACAGTGGGCTGTGTTTACGCTAATCTCGCATCAAGAAAGCATTAAAGCAGATGTGCAAGTACATTTAACCCCTTACACGACTCAGCCGAACACACAAGCGCTCTTCTTCGTGAGCATTTGAGTGTGCGGTTAAAAACTAGCCTAGAGCGCCGTCTGCTGTTAAAAACTAAGCTCAGAATCGATTCCAGAGAGAATCACGATGTCTTCAGAAAATCGCAGAATCGATGCAGAATCGTGATGCGTCGATTTATTGTCCCAGCCCTAAATTTTAAGTCTTTAATGAACCCTAGAGGGCTATTGTTTCTTCCGATAGGGACTTTAGTAATATTGTATTTTGAGTTTGCGTTTGAAATTTGGCGGACATTGTATATCTGTGTACGCAGTGTTGTTTTAGTACTGATATACTATTAAAGTTTTTGTTAATATTTTGAATTAGATTTTAATTTTACGGTTTAGTAATTTTGTCGTTTTTTTGTTTTTAAATGGGTCTAGTTTTTACTAAGTTAAGTGCTTTTTGCAACTAGGTGTTTTTTATATTATTTATGTATGTATTTTTAGAATATTTATGTTTGTTTGTAATATGTGTTTTTTTCATTTGAATGTTTTCAATAATGAAATTAGTGATGGATAAATAAGAATAATTTCAAATATTTGTGAATGTATCATTTTCCATTATAAAGCGGAGAGTTCCGGTGCTTGACTCTGATTGGCTGAGCCGAGTTCAAAGCTGTTATAAATGACGCTACAAAGTAACACACCTTTGTTTACGTTTGTGTGTTGCTCGGCAACCACTTTGTAGCAACCACAACTGTTTCTGAGGAGCTACATTGTTTGGTGGAAGAATACTGTGTTTATTAATATCATTACACTTTATTTGCTCCGTTTTATTTTGTGAAATCTTACTACGTATATTTTATAAAAGCAAGTAACCCCCGTGAAGCCGTGGTTTACAGTGAATTAACCTAACAACGCCCCTTAGCTGTTATAAATTCACTGTAAACCACGGCTTCTTTGAGCTTATTGCTTTATTATGAAACCATTTTTACATAGATAATATTTTATCACCAAACCCAAATCAGTCAAGCACTAGCTGAAATTTCAATGCATCACTTCTTATGATGTCAATGTGATGCAAAACAAAGCCTCAGCAGTTTATAAACAAGCACTCACTACTAGTTTCCTTCTATGTTCTTCCTATGTCCACAACACTTAGTTTTAGCGTAGAGCTGCAGTTTTGGGCTGTGGAGGGTTTATCGGCTGCGCTTGAAGTCGCTCGTCCTGCCAAGTAGCGTTACATTAGCGTTTTGCTGACTGTCTTCTGCGGGAGATTGTGAACCTGCGGTGACATCTCAGCCGAATCAGCAGACTCACTCACAATGACTGCTGGGAAAATGAATCAGACTTGAGTGTTTTTTCTGCAAGTTTGTCCACAGCAGTGACAAGTGTTCAGTGCAGAACTGCTGATGCACAGCGCTCGGCCGTATTTGTGGCCTGCATTTCATTTTTGTGACCGAGAAACACTGTTTTGAGTATTGAGTATTGTACATAATTGACCTATCGGTAAGCCCCGCCCCTCTTAGTTACTTTTGCTCCCTCGGACAAACAAACGGAGTTGCTCCCTCTCTTACAATGACAGCTTTCAGTGTGAAAACCTGAAGGGCCACCATTCAAGCGGGAATTAAATATTTCATGGAGGGATATATAAAATATTTAAAAATAAATACGGTGGGTAACTCGAAGCAAGGGTTTACAGATCACAGTGCAAGCGGGAGAAGTCTCATATTATGGTCGGAATTGCAAAGCATCTTATCTGTTGTTTCTATAGTAAGGCTGTTCATTTACTATTTGGTGCGATTAATTACGGAAAAACCTGTGCGTCATCTTACATTGATGCAAGTTCTGATGAATATGATACTGCGTGATAAAGTCCCTGGGAATGCAGTTATGTGATCCTAAAATTCAAGATATGAGGGCAAAAATCACCCTCTTATATTTATATCATACGATATAGTTTAGCAATAACACACCAGCAAGAATGCTGTTTTTACCTAATATCTGCATGTCTGCAAATTAATATTGATTTTATATAACAGTTCAACAGACAAGAAGTTACTATTGTTACATTTTAGACACAATATTGTCAAACCGTTGTAATGAAAGCCACAGCTGAACCATTGAGCGTCTCTGATCAACACAGTCGTGATTCTGTACTGAATGAATCAGCTGTTTGCATCCGTATCAGTGATTGAGTCAGTGATTCAGTGACTCTTCATAAAGAACCTCCTGCTTCGTTTCTGAATTAATCAGCTGTCTGAATGAACCGAGTGAGTCAGTGATTCAGTGACTTCATAAAGAGCCTCCTGCTTCAATTCTGAATGAATCAGCTGTCTGAATGAACCGAGTGAGTCAGTGATTCAGTGACTCTTCATAAAGAGCCTCCTGCTTCGATTCTGAATGAATCAGCTGTCTGAATGAACCGAGTGAGTCGGTGATTCAGTGACTCTTCATAAAGAGCCTCCTGCTTCGTTTCTGAATGAATCAGTTTCAGAATAAGTCGTTTGCATGAATGACGGAATGATTTGCTGACTTTGTTTATCTCGTATTATTAAATATTAAATTAAAAAAACGTTAATTGTCATTTAAAACCAATTAATTTTATTTATGCAATTCTAATTGCAGTGTAAATGCATTTGTACTTATAACACTTCAAATGCAGCTTCTGAAAACAGTGTTAAGGCCTTAAAATCTAAATCATAAAATCTTTCTAAAGCTACTTTTTGTAATGTCTATTTAGTGGTTTCTCATTTCACACTGTAATTTACATTCAATTAACTTTTTGGGGGTCATTGCTCCGCAATAATTGATGTGTGATTAATTCGCTATTGATTTGATTAATTTATTGACACATCATAGTCTATATACAAACTATTGTGACATAGTATTTGGTCATATTCTGACGGTCTTATTATAATTTGCTTTACCCTGTATCTTCTTATGAATTAGCATGAGCGTTTGAGCTGCTAATGATGGTGTTTCTCTCTGTGTTCAGGTGACCTCGCAGCTCTGGGTAACATCAGCAGTCTTCACAGTTTATTAGGAGCCGGACCCCTTCTGCTGCCGCAGGGCCCGTCTCTGAGCGTCCCGCTGACACAGAACCAGACAGCGCTCAACCCGCTCACCTGCCTGCAGGTAAACTCACACCTGAGCCACGGGCAGTTTACATAGAAATAACAGTGCTTAAAAAAAAAATCAAAAATACAATAAAAATTTTGAAATATTATTACAATTTAAAACAGCTGTTTTTAATGTGAATGTATGTTAAACTGTAATGTATTTCTGTGATGCGCAGCTGTATTTTCTGCATCATTCCTCCAGTCTTCAGTGTCACATGATCTTCAGAAATCAGTATAATATGCTGATTTGCTGCTTTATTATCTGCGGCGCCAGCAATGACGCCACAGCCACACGCACACTCGACGTGTAAACATGTCGCTTCAAGTGAGAATGATTCTAGTTTTAATTGCATTCAGAGTAAGCGACGACAGATAATGTATTAATATCGTGCCAGATGAGGCTTGCACAGCCTGAGTGAGTGTGAGAGAGAGACGGCACACACAACGTAACTCAGAAATGTATAGATGCATACTGCGGTAGAAATAAAGATATTTACAAAATATGATTTATGTAAACAACATTATACGGCCATGATGTTTCCCTGAATATCAATATCAACACGATTGCGATGTGACACTGATTGCAATGTGACACTGATTTTATACAATATTTCAATAAACAAGAAGTTAAAATTAAGTGACTTAGATTTTAGACAAAATATTGACTGTTTTTGCTCAATTTCGCTGACGAAAATGGTTCCGATCAAAGCCACAGCAGAACCGTTGTGCGTCTCCGAGCAACACAGCGGTGTTACGTTACTAAATGAATCCACGTTTTTGAACGAATCGAGTGAATCAATGATTCAGTAACCCATTCATAAAAACAGTCACTTGCCTCGTTTCTGAATGAATCAGCCGTTTGAATGAATCGTTTGAATGAATGACTCACTCATTAAAACAGACATTTGCCGCCACCTACTGGTGGTTTAGTCATATTTAAAAGTATTGCATTTTTTCAACATTTATTTGTATGTTTAAAATTTCATTTGAATGGTAACAACTCTACAGTTTCTTATTATTCTAACTGAATTAATTGAAACAAAGTGAGAATCTGATGTGAAAGATGACATTTAATAAGGTTAGGGGAAAAAACGACCATTTATAAACAGTGGGAAATGACATCTGTTTTGTTACATACGGCAACTCATTTTAAGTTAACTATTTCTTCCTCTTTCCAGTCACAGAGCACTTTATTTTGAGTTAAGTGAGAGAAAATCTATAACTTAGTCCAGATTGGGGGAATTGTAATGTTTTGTTTTTTTGTTGTTGTTGTTGTTTTTTGCATTGAAATTTGCATATTTTTTTGTTTGTATATGCTGTCAATTATAGTTCTTATCTATAATCGGCAAAAATCGGTATCGGCAGTTTCTTTTTTTTAAATTGCTGACCAAACTTTTGAACAATAGTGTAAATATTATTATATTAATTATAATTAATAATGTCTTATATATTAAATTATATTATATACATTTTTCCAATATTTGTGCTTCATTTTAACTTCATCGAACTTAATGACGCGCATTCTGGGATTCTTTTTAAAAACTTAATTGAAGAGTTCATGTGTCCTGCTCATAAAAAATAATTTTTATCCTTATAAAGATATTAATATGTTGACCCCAGTTTATATTTAAAGTTCGAAAGAACATTTGAAGATATTTTTTCTTAAAAAGAAAAAAAACGTACTGACCTCGTTTGCCAAATATTATATTAACTATATTAATTATAATGAATAATGTCATTAAAAATTTTCAAAATAAAATATATAATTATTATATTGTATTTATATTTGTCTTTGCAAAATTATTTTTACTGAGCCCAAACATTTGTCAAATATATTATATTAAATATAGTAAATGAAAAAATCTTATTTGAACTTCCTTATAAAACCGTTCTCAACCAACATCATGAGATGCATCCTGGGATGTTTTTTTAAAAACAATTGAAGATTTCTCACATGTGCTGCACATTTTGATGCATTTCCTTCACCTTTTGCTCCATACAAAAATAATGAAAAAAACCATTATTTACATTTAGTCATTTAGCAGATGCTTTTATCCAAAGTGACTTACAAACGAGGACAATAGAAGCATCAAAATCAGCAAAAGAGCAATGATACGCAAGTGCTATAACAAGTCTCAGTTAACTTACACACAGCACTTTTTTTTTTTAAATTATATATTAAATGACGAGAAAGCAGATAGAATAGAGCAAGCTAGTGTTAGAGGCCTTTTTTGCTTTTGTTAATTGTATAATAAAGGAAACCGAATACAAAAAGATTAGAGAAGCTAGTGTTAGTCTCTCCTTTTTTTTTTTAGAAAACAAGCAGAAAATGAATAGAGTGCAAGTCTAAAAGGGACAGTTTTTTTTTAAAGAATAGAATTAGAATAGAGAGTGCTAGAGTTAGAGGGTCAAATAAAGATCATGGAAGAGATGTGTTTTTAGATTATTAAATCCATTATTTATACATCAAGAAATTCATAAGTTGAACCCAGTTTGTATTTCACTATACATTTTTTAAAAATCACGAGGATCTTAATAAATTCTCTCATGTGTGAACCGCTGGTGTTTATGGATGCATCTTCTCTTTCTCAGCTGACGATGGCGCCGGCGCTCATGGGAGAGAAGCCCGTGGCTCTACACGAGACGCGTCCGTCACAAGATCAGCTTCCCTCGGCTTCGATATCCCAGAATTCCCTGCTCAACCCGGTCCAGACGCCGCTGCAGCAGAGAGAGACGTTTGACCCGTACGCCTCCTTCATGGACACCATCTACACCTCCTTCCTGCAGGTGAGCGAGCGCGATTGAGGCAAAAGGGAAAAAAAGCTTATGGCTTCTCTCTTGAGGCCACAAGATGGCGCATCGAGCAAAATATTACTAATGCACGTTTCTTCAAAGCAATAAAATAACACGGCTATCTTTGAAAAAAGTGCATAATTTTTTTAATAATGTTTATAAACCATATATAATTAAGTTGCTTAAACAATTTAAAACAAAACATTATCATGTATGCATGTATAGTTTAATACAAAGGACCGAAAACTAGGGATGCACGATATTATCGGACTGATATCGGAATCGACCGATAATGGCTTTAAATGTAAATATCGGCCCGATATGAAAAATAATGCCGATATGTCTTGCCGATAAGAGAAATACATGAACTCACATGTGCTCAGGGTGTGCTAGCGATTAGATCACGTCAGCAGTGTGGCACATTCTTTTGCCTGAATGGTGATTAGATTCACTGCTTTGGATCGCTGCATTTAAACTGAGAAAGCACATAGGTGTATGATAGAGTAAACAGTAATAGCACCAGCAGCGGCAGCCTCCCCCGGGTCCTAATGCCCGCTCAGTAACGAGTTTTAATTCCGTAGGGGGCGCTGTTGGCCTACTTCTAATAAAGTAAAATACACAAATGATATTTAGACTGCTTCTGATTAAATAAAGCAGTAATTGATGCCATAAAATAATGCGTATGTTTTGATTTAAAGGTCAGATGCTATAGCTTACATGAACAAAAAAAAATAAATCACAAACATGACACTTAAATTAAATCATTATATATATATACTGATTTATTCATTAATGTGTAATATGTTATATTTTTTTATACAAATTATGAGCTCTAAAAGATTTTCAGAATTTGTACAACTCTTTTGCTTTAGACCATTTACAAATGTTAAATCATTAAATAAAATGTTACGGTTACCACTGCATCTTTCTGGAAAAAATTTATATATAGTTTATTTATAGTTATTTTCAAATCTTCAATGTACTGTCATTATAAAAGTACTTTATTATTGTTTATTTAATTCTAACAAATAAGTTCTTGATAAAAAATAACAAATTTAAAATAATTATATATCGGTATCGGCCAAAATTAGTTGAAAATCATCGGGATATCAGCAAAAATCCAATATCGTGCATCCCTACCGAAAACCAATCACAAAGAATACTTTTTCTATTTAAAAACATGAGATGCAGTGGGGTAGAGAGAAAAAAAAAACGCCATAAATTCTCGAGAATTCTCTGTTTTTAAAAGTTGAACTTGCATTAATTTTGCATGGCTTTCTAAACATGCGGCTCTCTTGTTCGAGACGCGAGTGCAACGCTGATAGATGTCTCTCTAGAAAATGCGATAAATATGCGTTCTGTGTGAACTGCATCTTCTCCGCATTCATGTTCCCTTTTTCCGCAATATTTTGAATGAACAACGGAGCAGCGCCATCTAGTGGCTTCAACCGGATAGGCTAATAAAGCATTAAAATGCAACGACACCTACATCGTCATCGCATCTTGTGTCTACTGATAAGGCTGCCTGACGCACACCTAATACCAAAGTTTTTGCATTCGAATGTGCATATATTCGAAATTCAAAAAAAAATTTGGGCTGCACTAATCTACACCACTTTCTCGCAGGTGAACGAGCATGATTCGTACTCGGAGCTGCCTCCGCCCCTCAGCCCACGCCGCGCCTGCTCCGTCCACAATCCGGACCTGACCCGCCTCGGCTTGGACACGGCCCAGTCCCAGTCTCCGGCCCGAGGGACGCCCAAACCCAACGGGGACCCGTTGACGCCGCCGCCCTGCGACGCCCCGCTGGAGGAGGCCAAGACCGACGGCTCGGCCACAGTGTGCGTCTACAGCAACGGGATCGGCTCCGGAGCGGAGGGGCGAGGAGGCGAGGAGGAGGAGGATGGACGAAGGCTGCAGGGATATTTGAGTCCGGGTGAGCGGCTCCGTGAGGCAGCCGAGGACATCAGAGACGCAGAGCAAGTCCGGGTGAGCGCGCTTATCACGTGTTATTCCATATGCTGTTAAGCCCCGTTCACACCAAGGACGATAACTATAAAGATAACGATAAAGATATAGTTCTAAAAATCGTTCTCGATATTAAAGAATAGCAGAGTCCTCACCACAACTATAACGATATAGACAAAGAGAAACGATAAAGTTGGAATCACTTTCAAAACGATTTTTGTCCAGCTGATGAACGATACAAAATAGACAGCCAATCAGAATCCATCCTGCTATAACGAGCCTTCTGATTAAATAAAGCAGTAATTGATGCCATAAAATAATGCGTATGTTTTGATTTAAAGGTCAGATGCTATAGCTTACATGAACAAAAAAAAATAAATCACAAACATGACACTTAAATTAAATCATTATATATATATACTGATTTATTCATTAATGTGTAATATGTTATATTTTTTTATACAAATTATGAGCTCTAAAAGATTTTCAGAATTTGTACAACTCTTTTGCTTTAGACCATTTACAAATGTTAAATCATTAAATAAAATGTTACGGTTACCACTGCATCTTTCTGGAAAAAATTTATATATAGTTTATTTATAGTTATTTTCAAATCTTCAATGTACTGTCATTATAAAAGTACTTTATTATTGTTTATTTAATTCTAACAAATAAGTTCTTGATAAAAAATAACAAATTTAAAATAATTTTATATCGGTATCGGCCAAAATTAGTTGAAAATCATCGGGATATCAGCAAAAATCCAATATCGTGCATCCCTACCGAAAACCAATCACAAAGAATACTTTTTCTATTTAAAAACATGAGATGCAGTGGGGTAGAGAGAAAAAAAAAACGCCATAAATTCTCGAGAATTCTCTGTTTTTAAAAGTTGAACTTGCATTAATTTTGCATGGCTTTCTAAACATGCGGCTCTCTTGTTCGAGACGCGAGTGCAACGCTGATAGATGTCTCTCTAGAAAATGCGATAAATATGCGTTCTGTGTGAACTGCATCTTCTCCGCATTCATGTTCCCTTTTTCCGCAATATTTTGAATGAACAACGGAGCAGCGCCATCTAGTGGCTTCAACCGGATAGGCTAATAAAGCATTAAAATGCAACGACACCTACATCGTCATCGCATCTTGTGTCTACTGATAAGGCTGCCTGACGCACACCTAATACCAAAGTTTTTGCATTCGAATGTGCATATATTCGAAATTCAAAAAAAAAATTTGACTGCACTAATCTACACCACCTTCTCGCAGGTGAACGAGCATGATTCGTACCCGGAGCTGCCTCCGCCCCTCAGCCCACGCCGCGCCTGCTCCGTCCACAATCCGGACCTGACCCGCCTCGGCTTGGACACGGCCCAGTCCCAGTCTCCGGCCCGAGGGACGCCCAAACCCAACGGGGACCCGTTGACGCCGCCGCCCTGCGACGCAGGAGGCCAAGAGGCCAAGACCGACGGCTCGGCCACAGTGTGCGTCTACAGCAACGGGATCGGCTCCGGAGCGGAGGGGCGAGGAGGAGGAGCAGAGCAAGTCCGGGGGAGTGCGCGCTTATCACGTGTTATTCCATATGCTGTTAAGCCCCGTTCACACCAAGGACGATAACTATAAAGATAACGATAAAGATATAGTTCTAAAAATCGTTCTCGATATTAAAGAATAGCAGAGTCCTCACCACAACTATAACGATATAGACAAAGAGAAACGATAAAGTTGGAATCACTTTCAAAACGATTTTTGTCCAGCTGATGAACGATACAAAATAGACAGCCAATCAGAATCCATCCTGCTATAACGAGCTCGAGAATTTACAGCGGCAGATGAGCGTGCGTTTAGAATAAACACGATATCGTTCGCTGGTGTGGACGTTCGCTAATATCGTTATCTTTATAGTTATCGTTCGTAGTGTGAACGGGGCTTTAGTGTATTTATTCAGATTTTTTTCAAGTTTTCAATTCAACCTCTTTCTTTTTTTTTTTTTTTTTGACTTTTCTATTTAGCTGGAAGTTACTTTTTTTTTTTTAGCAATTTTGTTACGAGTTTATATCATTTTTATTAGTCTTTTTTATTTCTATTTAGCTTTGTTATTGGTTTTAGTTTAATTTTGTGTAATTTCGTTGTGTGCTTCTGTCACTTTTATAATTAAAAAAAAATATTTCTGTTTTGCTTTATTTTTTTTATTTGTTATGTGTTTTTGTCATTTCTATTAGTTTTTTATTTCTATTTTTTATTTGACTTGAAGTTAGTTCAGTTTTAGCAATTTTATTTTAACATTTATATTTGCCTTTATTTTTCTATATAAAATTATTTTTATTTCAATTCAAGTTTTAGCAATTTTGTCGTGCTTTATTTTTTTAACAATTTTATTTAGCTTTCAGTTATTTTAATTTCACTTTAAGTTTTGGTAATATTGTTTTATCAATATTGTAATCACGATTATTTAACACGATTATGTGTGGGTCATATGACCAAAACTCCCCTCTAATATAATGGCAGGGGAAACACTGAATAGCGTACTAATGTCAGAAATGTTTATTTTGGCACACTGCTTCACATACCTCTTTCATTAATAGCTTTGTATACTGAGTAGTGTACTAGACTTTTTCTCAGCATGACCCTGGCTTCTTTCTCTTCCGTCTGCACTCAGGCTGAAGACGTGCACACAGGAGCCAGAAGGGGGCGCAAGAGGAAGCAGTCGTAAGTGCATCCATCCAGAACCCGACACATTCACGCATGAAGTGCTTTGTGTTTTACTCTTCTTCTTCTTCTTCTTCTTCTTCTACCTGTCAGGCTGCAGAGAGGAGCGGACCTGCTGGGTGGCATCGACAGCATCATTGAGGAGCCGACGGTGAGACACACACACACTCACTCACTCACTCACAGACACTCACACTCACTCACTCACAGACACTCACTCACTCACTCTCACACTCACACTCACTCACTCTCACACTCACACACTCTCTCACACTCTCACGCACACTCACTCACTCACACTCTCTCTCTCTCACTCACTCACACACTCACTCTCGCTCACTCACTCTCACACTCACACACTCACTTACTCTCTCACACTCACTCACACACACTCACTCACACTCACTCACTCACTCTCACACTCACACACACACTCACACACACACACACTCACACACACACTCTCACACACACTCACTCACT